CTCTTAAGTCGCACAAATCTAGGTTTGAATCTTCTCTTGTGCTTCTCTAGTGTGTTATGTTAGGGTAATGACTTCCCTGAGTGTCAGTAAAATGAACATGATAATATCAACTTCATAGAGTTGTGAGGATTGAGAAGGGTCAGTAAGGTGTGTCATCAAGTACCTGACTCATCACAGGCACTAAATAAACAATCCTATATAGTGGTCGTATTTGGTTATGTGATTAGTAAAGGAACCATTCATCAAATAAAATTTTCTTTGCAGAGCAAACAAATGAAATTTTAATACTATGTGTGTACTAAGGTTTTTGTTTCTTCTCCATTAATATGGTAGTTCTGTGGCGACTTCGGTTTTAGTTGTAGCTTTGCTTTTGGCTCATTGCTTGATTTATGAGAGAAAATTCATATTTTTGCCGTAAGTATTTTACTTGTAGGGTTGATGTATCTATATAATGCTTTGTGTTCTTGGCAGGGAAGTACCATAGAAGTATGGACATCAGTGTTTAAAAACTTACTGTTTCCCCCATGGTTGAGAATAGGAGAAGAAATGTTATGTTAATGCTATATTGATGAAGTCAGTCTTCTCCTTGCCCAATTTTTGTTAATTATTCTTGATCTTTGCCTTAGTGTAACCTATTGAGGGTGATTATGATGAATGCGAATCCTCCATCCTGTTTGACCTGGAAGACTTTCCAAAAGGAAATGTCTTTACAATAATGATAAACTAGGTGAAACCGAAGGAGTGGGGTGTTGGGGTGGGGGGCGGGGGAAGCATAGTGTAACAGCATTGAAAGAGGAAGCAAATCTGTGTTGTCAGCTCAGGCCATAACTAGTCATTTCTTGACAGATGAAACCATTTCTCTGAAAACATACTGTTTGAGAGTGGGAGGTGAGGGACTCTTCATCAGAAGTTTGTTTAATTTTTATCCAACTTATGAGGTACAGTTCTACTGGGTATTGCATTTCTTCATGCACTCAGTGTCAAGAATTAAGAGCATAGAATAAAGTATATAGTTCTGCTGTTGGTGTTATTAGATATTGAAAAAGAAGATCTCCTGTGAAGTGTGGTTGGGTTGCTTTTGTGGTGTATTGTGCAATATAGTTTGAACTATCATCATTTTTCTCCCTTTGCTGGATCCTTTAAAAGATAGGAAAGAAGAAGATAACCATAAAGCACTGTTAGCCTTGGGACTTACTTATATAGCCCAGAGGTTATGGGACTCTGTCATTTTGATAATCTTATGTTAGAGGTTCCTAGGCAGAATAAACTGGGAGAGAAGAAAGAAAGCTTGTAAGGGGGGGAGCAGGGGGTGGTGTGTGTGTGTGTGTGTGTGTGTGTGTTTACCTCAGAAGTCAAACGTTTGGTTTGGAATGAACAGTTCACAGGTATTGGGCTGATAGTAATGGGTCAGGGAAAGGAGACCTTTGACTCTCAGGTTGTAAGGGGATGACCTGTGTCCGCGCTCACAGATATTTTAGCCCATATATTAAATGATTCTTTTTTATTTAAAGATTTTATTGGGGAATTGGGGGAGGGAATAGCATTGGGGAATCGGGGGAGGGGAACAGACAAGTTGCTGTCCTTTTGTTCTTGAGTCTAGTTGTGGAGGATGCCACTTCACTGGCCCATGTTAGTATTGTGATCATTGCACTCTTCCCGGCTGAGGCAGACAAGTCGCCGGCCATTGGACAGCAGCTTATGGCAGCCCACTGCAGCCCCACTGCAGCCTATGCCATCGCCTCACAGCAGCCCAGCTCCAGGTCAATCTTAGCTGTAGAAGGTGCAGAGTCACTGGCCCATGTGGGATCTGAACTGGCGGCCCTGCTGCTCAGAGCTCGCGCTCCCAAGCCAACTCTTAACCAATGGGCCACTCGGCCGGCCCCTAAGTGATTCTTAATTGGAGAAGAGCCATTGTTCCTTTTTGTTATCTTTGCTAGAGAATATAAATCATAAAGTCACAGTTTCTCATAAAAAAGCTTTGATAGTTTAAATTCCTGAAATGTGTATACCTAGCTATCTTTGTAGATAGTTTTAAAGTGATGTTTTATTTAACAGGGGAAACTTGCTTATGTTTTTTGTCTACACAGATTCTCTTATGACTCAAAATAAACTTTTTAAGGTTTTATTAATCATCTTAATAGAACAGAAGAATTAAAATAAATATCTAATGATGTTGGTGTTTCAAAGTTTTGTTTTTAATCAGTTCTGAGGAGAAAATATACGAGTAGGTTCAGCAGACATTTATAGGTAGTTCTAAATAGCTAGAGTTTTCCAAAGGATAACCTTCCTTTTTTAGTCTTATCTGCTTACAAAATTCAAAAATATTTTTTTTCCTGAGAAAATTCAGTGTTCCTTTGCTTCTACTGTCTCTATGTCAATAAATGTTAGAGAGGCAGGGGCCACTGCCTGGGACCAGGCTGTGCACGACCATGTCAGGTAGCAAGCGCCCTGCTCCCCATTAGTCAGACATCCTAGGCTCCAAGGAATAGACCTTCGCTTCAACATTGTGGGATTCCAGTGTGACATCTGATATAGATTCTAAAGCTAGAGGGAAAATAACAGTAAATTCAAAGTCCTATGGGCAGGGTGTCAAATACTCTTAAAAACAAACTGCTGAAGGTCTTTCTCTAGGCTTATTCCCTTCATAGCTGTGGAAGGGCCTGAGATGATGGCATGGAGGATAACTGAATTCCCAGCACCCTGAAGAGGAACTTCCCGGTTTGTTTGTTTTTTTTGGTTTTCTTTTTTTATGGCTTCTTGCTTCTGTTGGCCAAATTGGTTTTTTCTGTTTTTGTGCAATAGATATGATTAACCTTTGGGGTTTGTGTTCTTTTCTGCGATTACAACATGAGGAAAGACATTTCCTTTTGTGTTATATTTTAGTGGATCTTAAATTTTAGGTATGTGTAACATTCTGAAAACATGCATTATTCTCCTGATGTGTGTTATCTAGGAGCTATATGGTCTTTATTTTTTATTAATTAGGTAGCTGACTTTCTTACTATCTCACATAATATAACAGTTAAAGGGTAATTAAACTGTTAAAAAAAAAGTGATTGTTTAAAAAAAAAAAGTGCTTGCTGACATCATCTTTCCGAGAACACTAGTGTAAGTAATTTACTATAACAAGACCTTAGTTTTTCCTGTTAGCAAATGACATGTAATATTTACAGAGGTCTTGGGTTCACTCCAGCAGAAACATCTCCAATGAATTGATGTGTGAAACTAAAGCCATTTAATGTTTTCTTTAATAGGGACATAATGTAAACAGGTTTTTTTTAGTTTAAAAGTAGGGAGAGAATGGATACTTAGTATGATTTCTTTGAGTGAAGCAGCTTATAATAGAATGTATCCTCCAAAGTTAAATATCAAATGTGTTCAGTTTATAATCCAGTTATATGCTTCTGACAGTTGTGTATTTAGGGTTCTAAGTTAATGTTAATTCTTTTCTTATGCATGTGCTTTTTCTGCCGTGTCACACTTCTCCTCCTTTCCCATCAAAATGATACAAGGTAAAGTTTTGTACTTCACATATGTCAATTAGCATAAATTCTAAATCTATAGGATTTTTACTTTAAAAAGCTAGAAATATATTTACACTATTATAACACAAGTAATGAAGCATCTTTAGTTATCTTTTGAAGAATTGGAATATTCCAACTATTTAGGTATTTCTAGCATTTAATCTATCACTAAGTGCTAAAAATTTATTTAAATATACAATAGTTCCCCCCTTATTTACGATTTCTTTGCGGTTTCAGTTACCCATGGTTAACCTCGGTTGGAAAATATTAAATGTAAAATTCCAGAAACACACAATTCCTAAATTTTAAATTGTGCACCCTCCTGAGTAGCTTGATGAAATCTTGTGCCATTCCTCTCCACCTTACCCAGGAAGTGACTCATCCTTTTGTCCAGTGTCTTCATGCTGTAGTTGCTACCCACTGTATTGTTATAATTGTTCCAATTTATTATTGTCATTAGTTTTTATTGTTAATCTTTTAGTGTCCCTATTTTATAAAATAAACTTTACTGTAGGTGTGTATGTATAGGAAAAGACATAGTATATATAGACTTCAGTACTATCTGCAGTTTCAGGCACCCACTGGGGGGACTTGAAACATATCCCAAACAGATAAGTGGGACTACTATAGTTAAATGCAGATATATTGAGGAATGAAGAAAATGAAATGTAGTTACTGTGGAAATCTAGCCTCATCTGTTTGAGAGCAGTTTAATTTTGTTTGTTTGTACCTATCAGGTTGTAGGCACCAAGAATCTAAATGATCCTTTTACTTTTAGGAAGGCATTTCTTGTACTATGTTTTCCATTTTGGTTGATTTTTCTAGTTACAGTAGCTAATCCATAAAGAAAAACACTTCCCTTCCAACACCACAATATCAAACAAAAGAATTACTTTTTTTTTTTTTTAATTGGGGATTTAGGGGAAGGGGAACAGACAAGTTGTTGTCCTTTTGTTCTTCAGTCTAGTTGTGGAGGACATTGCTTCACTGGCCCAAGTTGGCACCATCACTGCACTCTTCCCCGGGCGAGGCAGGTCAGTCGCCGGCTTCTGGACGGCCGCTCACTGAGGTTGCTGGCCGCTCACGCTGGCTGCTGGCTACACACGGTAGCCCATGGCAACACACTACAGCAGGAGCTGCAGCCT